CACTTTGGCCAGTGTGCTGTGGAAGAGCTAAGTTGCGCTACTCAGGGGTCACTTTGGCCAGTGTGCTGTGGAAGAGCTAAGTTGGGCTACCGGGCGTACTGAAGTCCAAAAGTTCTAAAAATCTAACGACCCCACAGTCCTACGGGTGGGAAAATATCACTTGAAAAGGGGTCGGCGGCACCCGGGCGAAGCCCTTACAATCCGGGCGCCGGCCACGAAGCCCGTGCCCTGCCCGGAGGGCCTTCGGTGGTAACCGAAGGTTATAGACGCTGGCCCTGGCTGCCGCCGACCCTCGGTCCCAAAACGGGGGGACCCCCAGGTCACTTCCTGTCAACTGAAGCCCCTGTAATTTACAGTGTATCGTGTGTGTGAGGTATAAAAAACACTGTGTTTTACAGGGTTTCGGGCCCCTCGGCAGCCGAGAATTTCATCTTGGCGATGTCAAAAAACCTAGGTTTTTTCATGGTTTTTGCTTTGCGGGAAGGAAAAAATCGTAAAAAGTTGTATCGGAAGATTTTTTCAACATAAATCGCCTAACATATCCCCAACATAGGCCCAAGATAGCCAACATATCCCCAACATATGCCCAACATAGCCTCCAAGATGGCTCAACATAGGGCCAACATAGGCCAACTTGGGGCCAGCAGACGCCAACATAGGCCCAACATAGGCCCAAGATAGCCAACATATCCCCAACATATGCCCAACATAGCCTCCAAGATGGCTCAACATAGGGCCAACATAGGCCAACATGGGGCCAACATACGCCAACATACATAGGCCCAACCTAGGCCAACATAGGCCTAACATAGGCCGACCTAGGCTAACATAGGCTCAACTTGGGCCCAAGATGTGCCCAACATAGACCACGTGGGCGCAACTTGGCCCAACCTAGGGCCAAGATGCGCACCAGATAGCTCCACCAAGTCTCAAAGCGAGAGAGAGAGAGAGAGAGACAGGACCCAGCCCTGCACGTACCCAAACCCAAATAGGCCGGCGCCCGGCTGTCAGGCGTAAGCCTCATAAATATGTATACAAAGGCCACATTCCAAGAAGATCCAAGAAGAATAGAAATATGCAATCCAGGACACCATTCCATAGGTATACGTAGGTATACAGAATCCTCTGCATACATCCCAGAACAGAATGCCAAATTATTGATACAAACAAGCAGTTACAAATTGTTGCTTGTAGCTTTGAATAGTTCAATGTAACTTTGAATACGCAAACAGTTTTCCCAGCTGACACAATAGAGAGATATGCCGCTGCTGTCGGGAATGCCAGCCTGGATGCTCAAAGAAAGCGCCAGGTGGTGGAAAACTACCCTTGACCGCACCCAGCACCGGGGCAATTGCTTCCGCGTTCCTTCCTTGAAGCGAAGACACAAAACTCTCAGCAAAGGCAAAAATCGAAACGACCCCGACTGTAAAAATCTAAAAGTATCTTTCTCAAAACCTTGCTGTCATGCAAAGGCATTCAGTCGACTCCATGATTCCCACATGAGAACGATTTGCGCGACCATGTCTCGGCTGAAGGAGACCTGTGCCTCCAGCTGGTCGCTGTGGACGACTGCCTTGCTTTTCGCTTTTCCTTGGGAGGAACTGTCTTGGAAAAAGAGAGAATCTGTCTGGGAACAGGAACGGTGAGCTCAAGAAAAATCTGTTTGGGAATGTTTAGGCGGAACCCAAGGAAAACAAACACAACCAATGCAAATAGATGTCGCTATCAGCTCAGTTGACATCAGCTGGAAAGCGGCCTGAGTTCAAGGAAATGATTGCTTGCAAAATCATTCCCGTCATGCCATCTGCAGGTGCCCGGGACATGAAACATTGTCTTGGTACAACATTGCAAAAACAAAGAACAACTCCAGAACCCCTGTTCGTGTCATTTTCTGCGGAACTCAATGGCAAGTCGCTTCAACATTTGTGGCGTCCTTTGCAGAGCACTCGATGAAGGCGATGCCCAAGTCCTGCACATAGGCCCTTTGTCATAGGTCAGAATTTTTTTTGAAAAAGTCCAAGAAATGCCCACGCACCAAAAGTGCTCAGGGCGTGATCATCCGGATGGCATAAACAACTGTAAGATACAGGTTTACCTGGGGGGGGTCCCTTTTTTTGGTGAAAACAATGGGTTTTTCATAGACGGCGGATTGAAAAAAAACACTATGTCTTACAGCACGGAATGGACTAGTGACTAGTTCGTGGATGCGCCCGCCGGAAACGGCAAGAGAAATGTGATGTTTTTTTTACTGTTGGTCTTCGATTTTTGGTTTTGAAATGCGTATTTTTCCATGTGTCTTGTCGGGAGGCCTGGAGGCCAGATTTTGTAATTTCGGAGCTGTTTGGGTGACGGTTTTCGCGTTTTTGTTGGGTAGAAACATTGGTTTTTGCAGTGTTTTTGTACATTGCCGAGGCTTAAGTTCTTTGCGCAAAAATGTAGAAAACTCGCAAATAGCAGTGTTTTGGCGACCATGTTGTTGAAAGCGTCGCAAATTGCGGTTGTCTTTTTTGACATTTGGGCCACGGCAAGCTCAAAAGCATCGCTATTTGCAGTGGTTTCTGCCTCACAGGGCATAAAAACACTGTAAAATACGGTACGTAGTGGCGTTTTTGGCAACGTCAACCTCAAAAACCGACTCGCTATTCGCCGTTTTTGCTGGGCAACTGTTTCATGGCGGTGCGGGCGGACCTTGCCGCGGAGCGGCGTGAATACCAAAGTGTCAAGAAACTGATGTACAGGATGCTGCGGCTTACACTTTTGCATTGCGCAGCACCGCACGAACCTGAACGCTCTCGCACAAGCCCCCGTCCACGCATTACCAAAAAGGCATTGAGCTGTGCACTTGATTGTAGAAATTGTTCAAACGAGTAGCTGCGCTTGCATTGTCACAGTTCGCCCTTCACGTGGGTCAACTCAGCTTGCCAGCACTCAGTGCTTTTTCCCCAACCAGTGTACTGTTGGGGTTCCATCTTAGAAGAAAAAAAACTGGCCACACTCACTGGTCCTCCTCTTGTCCTTGTCTTGGCCGCGCCCCTGAACTTTGTGGCTGGGCTCTGTGGCCCGGCTCTGTGTCCGGGTCTTCTCCTCTTGTCCTTGTCGTGGCCGCGCCCCTGAACTCTGTGGCTGGCCCGGTTTGCTGGAGAGGAGTGTGGCCGAACAAATCCGCCCGCACCGAAGGTGCCGAGGCGTTTTTATGAGGCTCGCATTATACCGCAAGAACCGCAAGTACTAGTAGCTTTAGCTACGGGGGGGTGCGTTTTCGCTCTAGAATCCTATGTTTTTCACGTTTTTGGAACCGGCTTAAAGTGCTGGAAGATAAACTCGTGCTAACTTGAAGCCCCTAGTGATGCAAGAAATGCAATTTTCTGCTTTGCATCATCTGCATCATCTGAGCGGTAAAGTGTAATTGGACTGAGGCCGGACATTTGGCTGAACAGGTTCCCCTAAGCGTAACATAGCCCTAGAAGTCACTATCTAACGGACGTGTCTGCGAGATAGGTACTTGAACGTCGTAAACATGGCCCAACGAAGGCTCAAAAGGGACTGGAATAGAGTGAAGATATTGCCTAACATAGCCCTAGAAGTCACTATCTAAACGACGTGTCTGCGAGATAGGGACTTGAACGTCGTAAACTGGAATAAAAAAACCCTAACCTCATCTGCATCATCTGAGCGGTAAAGTGTAATTGGACTATGGCCGGACATTTGGCTGAACAGGTTCCCCTAACGGGGCTCAACATAGCTTCCATATTGCGTAACATAGCCCTAGAAGTCACTATCTAACGGACGTGTCTGCGAGATTGGTACTTGAACGTCGTAAACATGGCCCAACGAAGGCTCAAAAGGGACTGGAATAGAGTGAAGATATTGCCTAACATAGCCCTAGAAGTCACCATCTAAAGGACGTGTCTGTGAGATAGGGACTTGAACGTCGTAAACTGGAATAAAAAACCCCCCCTAACGTGGCCAAACATAGCTTCCATATTGCCTGACATAGCTTTAGAAGTGATATTTGGCTCCACAGGAGCAGAGATAAGCAGAGATCACGTCCAGGAACGGTATATAACATTTTCGCACGAGCAGAGCGTGCATATGATCGAACATAGCCCCAGAAGTCACTATCTCAACCACGCTTCTTCGAGATAGGGACTTCAACGTCGTAAACATGGCCCAACGAGGGCTCAAAAAGGGACTGGAAAAGCCTGCAAAGTCACTAGCAGAGCGTGAAGCATGCTTCTTCGAGATAGGGACTTTAACGTCGTAAACATGGCCCAACAAGGGCTCAAAAAGGGACTGGAAAAGCCTGCAAAGTCACTATCTCAAGCATGTCTCCTCGAGATAGGGACTTGAACGTCCGGGTACGTGGCTGGTCAGGAGCAGAGATAAGGAAAGATAAGGTCCAGGAATGGTGGTCAGGAGCAGAGATAAGGAAAGATAATGTCCAGGAATGGTAACATTTTCTCACGAGCATAGCTTCCATATGATCGAACATAGCCCCCGAAGGCACTATCTCCAGTATGTTTTCTCGAGATAGGGCCCCGAACGTCGCAAACACCCTCTCCACTTCCATATTGCCTAACATCTATTTGGCTCCACAGGAGCAGAGATAAGCAGATCAGGTCCAGGAACGGTAACATTATGGGGGGGTCACTTCCGGGGCTATGTTCGGTGGAAATATTGGCCCCTTCCATGCGGTGCGGGCGGTTACCGTCGCGAAGCGACGTGAATAGCGATGTCAATGCCGACAAAAACTCATTGATGAAGCAGTTTGCTCTTGGGGTGAAGGTAGGGCGTACCAAGAAATTGTTTTTTGACTAATATTGGTCCAAACGAATCGTTTTGAAGCTGTTTGGGGTCTATGCTGGTATAATTGCTCTACAAAGCTTCAGGTCAAAGGCAATTCACTACTGCATTAATCTGCATAGTGGATCGCCAGTCTATAAACAGCGAGTGTACTTTAGCTACAGGTGTTAGAGGATTCAAAGTTCAAGGTCAAACACTTCTGTACTTAACCTCCTGGTATCATTTGCTCACCCAGGGTTCCTTCAGGGCCTGAACCCGACCGTACTGCTACCCTGCTTGGCTTTCAATAAACGACAAACCGATCTTAAGCAATCAAGTGTGATAACCTGTTAGAGAGTTCCCTCAAGACTGCACTGAAAAAAGAATACAATAACGGCGGGCCTCTGCTTTCTTTTGGGCCTCCTCTGTCGAAACTTGTCTATCGGCAGTCATGTCGCATTTGTTGCCGATGAGAATCTTGCAAGTATTCTCATTGACATAGCCTTCAGTAGTAGAGTGATTGATGGCTGATAGTACTGTACATATTTCTGGGTCAAACAAGTGTCAAAGTGCCAATCGACATGAATTAGTTTGTAATTTCTGCTTTGCACTTTCTGGGAAAGTGACGGTTGACCTCGTTCAGCCACTCGTCCACATGCTTGAAGGACTCCCGATCGCAAATGTCGTACACGAGGATGATTCCGTCCTGAATAGATCCCCCTTTCCTTTCTTTTCTTTTAATCACTTACAAAATTAAGTATATAGATATACAGTATTGATTTTCTGTCGTTATATATTCATATCACTATCATGGCAAATCTAGTAACTTTACATTGCTGTAAGCTCCAGACTGCACCACGGTAGTACCTTGGCTTGACAACAGCAAGAGTGTATGCTTGCTGCTTTTGACGTGTCTACTTGTCTACTGAGGAAGTACACAAAAAGCACCAGGCGTATGCTGCTCATAGTGAGCTGTAAGCCACCCACGCACTGGTGATCGTCCTGAATCTTTCTTGACCTGCTGTGTCCCAAATCTGGAGCTTGATTGTCCTCAATCGCAGCAACAGCTTTCCAGTCTGCTTGTGGAGTCTTGCCAAAGAAGTCTTTGGCAAGGATGGGTTGAGCAAGCTGAAAGCACGCCAAGAAACTTCTTGTCTACGGGAATAGTCTTGAATCTGAAATCCACTCCGATGGTAGTTATGTAGCCTGAGTTGGAAACGGATCTTCGGGCCCTTTGTGCAGCAAAGACCAAGAGTTTTCAAGAGTTTCAGCAGCAAGGGGCTGTCTGTAAAGGCATCATCTGCAAAACGCAGGAGGAGGCAAGACTTGCCTGCGCCTGAGTCCCCAATCAGAACCTCAGCAGGACTTTTCAGGCAATTTGCCAGAACGTGCTTAAAACCTTACAGTATATAAAAGAACAATGTCTGTCCTTCTCATTTCAATCTGCAGAGAAGAGTCCAGCTTGAATAGATGGTCGTAGTCACGCTTCATCCTCCACACAGAAGCTGCTCTTAAGCTCGCAGAAACTAGTTCATTAGAATCTCCCAACTAACAGTCTAGCATTTCACCTTCTACTCGACAACCCCAAGTGCATAGACAAGTGGTGTATTTCTTTCATGGATTTAGTGAAGAAGCGCGCAGTGTACGTCCTGCAAAGGCCGATGTTCAGGATATCTAGGGGCAATGCCCAACTGACTATGTGAGCCGAAAGTGGAAATCATCAGCACGTTTGCGACAAGTGACTATCAAATTTGGTCAAAAGCTGACTCTCGCTCAACACTGTTCCCAGTATGGACTTACCTACGGGGACTGTAGACATTGACAAAGAGTTCGCAAGGTGCCAAAAGACGATTCATCAAGTGCTTCACAGCAGCTGGCAAATTTGATGCATTGTCGTGAAAACTTCAAAGTTGTCCCATACAGCACCATGTGACGCCATGTGAAGGTAGCTGGCAATTGACTTTCCGATGTTCAGTTTGTTCAGATCAAATTGAGCAAATCCCTGCAAATTAGGCGAAGAAATAGATCCTTGCGGAAGAAACAAAGGCCTTACTTATGTACTTATGTGCAACGGACTATTGTCTTCGCGTTTGTTGAAGCTGGAAGGTGGCCACTGAATGCTTGACAGTGTTCCAAATTCAAAGAAGCAATGCTTTATGCGCCTTTTTTACCATGAAACTCAAGCAACAGTACCTAGGAACAAACTTGCAAACACAGCTCTGCTTACAATTGCTGGAAAGAATCTGGAAAGAAGGAAAAAGCTTATTTTGATTCAACCAACAGTTGCATGACATGATTGTCCTGAGGCCTCAGCAAATGCCAATATCACATGCGCCACAGGCGCTTGATTTCGAGGCCAAGGATGGCAAAGGCTCTGGTGAACGAGCGTATGAATAATACACACCACCTGCAGTGTGAAGAGAAAAAAAATAATCACACAAACCAGTCCAAGCAGTCTTCAATCCAAAACGAACCATTCATCACCCAATCAGTCTACCTGGCTTGCCACCAACATAAGGACGGCCGTATCCCTGGAGGGACAGCTTGTCAGCAGCATCCAGCTCTTTAGCGGAAAGGCCCTCGGCGCAGCTTCGCCCATCTCAACAGCGGCTTGAGTTAAACATTTTGGTGTTCAAACATCGCGCACTTCCTGACAGGCCTCAATTTTCTTTAAGGTGTGCTTATCAGTGACTTCATCTCCTGCATGTGAATCAAGTCAAACATCTGGAACTTGAGAATAGCCATGCACGAAAGAAGTAGGACTAGTTAGTAGTAGTAGCAGCAGCAGCAGCAGTAGTAGTAGCAGGAGCAGTAGCAGTGGCCAGCAGCAGTAGCAGTAAGAGTAGTAAGAGTAGCGGTAAGAGTAGCAGTAAGAGTAGTAAGAGTAGTCAGAGTGGTAAGAATAGCAAGAGTAGTACGGGTACAGCAACGTCCATACGCTTTGACAAGCTATAAGCAAAGGTTCATGTCATTGTGTATGCATTCGCCCCACAAGCTGAGGCTTGCGGGCACACGGAAGCCAAACAAAAGAGACAGGCCCATACAGGTGATTCTGATTGCTCAGAGGTTGTGGAAATGCTGACATGCGACAAAAAAATCCCAAGGCCTTGGAAGATGCCTGAAATGTTTGTTTTTGAGGTTTTGCACGCAATGGTTCGGGCACTCTATCACATGGACACTGGGGGGCGAGGGCGAGGAATATTATCTTGCCCAGATCTTGTTTAGGACTCCCCAAAAGGTGGCTTGCGGGTGGGCATCAGAACAGAAAGTCTTTCATTTGGGACCTGTTGGGGGGTTACTGAATCATGGACACTTGGTTCAAGAGAGTATGAATTCCTGTTTTAAATACAAACATGACTTTGTTGACTTCTCATGGCTTCACTCGCACTTCGCGTCCTTTCACTGCATGGGTAAAGTCTGCCGGATCATAGTTTGCCAGGAGCGCATTGCTCTTCTCCAGGCGCTCCATGTCCACACCGTGAGCTCTGCTGTAATCAATCTCAGAAAACGTCGAGGAGATTCGCTGCACCAGCTCTGGAGCAGTCCTATCAGTGCTGATTCTCAGATTCAGCAGCGCTTGCATGGTGTCAGCAAATTGGTGTCGGATTGTTCAAGTCTCAGGAAGCGGCAGGTTTGAAGCGTCAGGAAAGGCCAAGCCAGCTGCTTGCATTTTCTTCAGGGCTTCTCTGACATAAGCCAAGGGAAAGTGTCGCAAGTGCACAAAATGGGCACCACTTCTAAAAACGCCCAAATGAGAGGGCAACAAAGGTGGAAGCCTTGGTGAGGGATAGCCACCATTCAAAAGAATTCCAAAGATACAATACAATTACAATATTAAAGTGCCTGGAGTGCGCTCGCAACTCACCTGGGCCCTCTGCATAAATTGGAGATGCAGCTGGTATTGCGAAGGAGGCAGGTTGAAAGCCATTATGACATGTTCACGTAGAGCTTCTAGTGGCATCTCATATCCCGCCTTGGCAATTCAAGTTGCATCGGCAATCAAGGTGTCGCAAACAATAGTAAAAAAGAACTGCAAGAACCGCAGGCAAACATCCAATCCGAGCAACTGCCGACAAAGCTTTTTTCCTCCATTCGGCAGACGCCAAAGGACCCTGTGCCAATGCAGTCCAGGCAGACTCCTGAAGGGGACTGTCATACGGCACTCGTAATTGTCAAATCTGCGTTGAACTTTGGCTCCCCGCCTCCATTTTGTCCAATAGGGCTAGGGCTGGGCCAGGGTCGCAAAAGAGATGTCTAACGTCAGGACCTGAAACTGAGAAACTTCTCATGGTTAGATTAGAATGAGGCAAAATCCAGGATGCGCCGCAGAAAGCGATTCTGTTAACCAAGAGGTTCCCCAAGCACGTGCAGTTTGTGTCTTGACTGTTGGGCTATCCTTGCCTTGCTTGAGAAGGTCAAGAGAGGACTGACGCTGCCTAAATGTTGTTGCTAGAACGAATAAGGTCTCACCACTTTCCAAGGATAATGAACTGCAGAGGCAGACAAGCTTGAATCGGAGCAACGTATTGTATAAAGGAACAATCATACTCGTACCACAAGTTCACAAAAGCACAGCAATCCCAAACGTCAACGTCTTGAATTGGCATCCTCGGCGGTTAAAGAAAGCCGTTCATAAGACCTTGAGAGTCTTGCAGGCAAAAGTTGGAAACACACCTGAAAAACACCACCTTTGTCCTGGATTATTGATGATTGTTGACAACCTTCTCAAGCAGTGTTGCTACACAGCTTGCTCACGTTGCCTTGTGTGCAAATGTGTTGTCTTTTGCGAATGTCGAGACTTTGACTTGGAAATCTCTTTGATTTCAAACTGGTTGGCCTGAGCCTGAGGCCATAAACTTTCGAACCTGGTGTGATTGTTTTGTTGCTGAAACCCTTTTGGATGTGATTAGCTTCCTTCAAGCGAAGAGTGTATAAATTGTCTCAACCATGCAACAAGCCCTGGCTGAGAATTGTCCTTCACTTCTGGGCACTGTCGATTTGACAAGTTTGGAAGTCCAAGAAGCCTGCTTGATGTGTGTGTCTTGTGTTTCGCCATCCAACTGTGTATGTGTATATTATAATATGTATATATATATATATCGTGCGCTTTTACTTTCAGCATCAAAGCCTCCGAAAAGTACCGCGTGATGGGTCATGATGAGTGGCATTGTCCAAGTCGGTATGGAGCTTTTGGACACTCTTCGGAATCATAAGCCCCAAGGCCCTGGACATTTTGGTATAAGCAAATTCAGCTATTCTCCGATTGTAACTAAGCACTCACTCTCTCTCTCTCTATTGCTATGCCGGCACCTTAAGCCTTAGGCCACCCGGTGGCCCTTTTAGAGTACTGAAAGCTTCCGACAAACGCCTAGAGTCCGGCAGCCTTGAGAATGCATTCTTTGTCTATTGTGTATCTGAGAAGTCTGAGAATTGCTTTTGATTTCTTGGTTCAAATGTCCGACGACCAGACAACCTTACCTGGACTGGGTCATGTTGTCAACCAAGTCAAAACTGCAGGCGGAAAAAAGTACAGAATCCAAATACAGCTCGGAGAGAAAGATTGAAGGATTTCTGGCTCGGAGTCCCCGAGTGTTCGCTTTGTGACATGCAGAGAGGTTTGCACATTAACAAAAAAAAGAAAACAGTGGCAACAAATCAAAGATCCACAAAAGCATTAAAACTTGAGTGATTTGGATTTATTTGGATTTAACGCCTTTGCCGTCAAGGGTGGTGGGCGCCGCGTCTTGCGCCAAATTTCGTAACAGAAATTTACAGTATTTAAAAATATCTGGGCCACTTTTCAGAACAAATGCAAAGTGCGACAAAATAAGCGTCAGGCAGTATACGTTTGTCGGCACAGAAAGAACATGAGCGCGGGTAATGGCCAGTGGATCATCAAACACCATGATGTCCCTTGTCTCCAGGCGCATTGAGATCTTCAAAGGAAAGCCGGTAGCTGAAACCTTCTCCACCCCATAAATGAACGCCATAAAGAGGTTTGGACTCTTGGACACAGGGACTTCAGCCAATGACGCTCCACACCCATTGCCTGAGCTGAATCTTGTCCCGGATTTGTGACTACTAGCCTCCTTGTAACTACTAGTAAGGCACTTGTTACTAGAAGCGATGCACTTGTTCCTAGTAGCTTATTTGCACCTTTCAAGCATTCTCCAAATCCAAGCATCAGAGTGTCATTGTCACTGCCTCAAGCAATAAGTCATGCCAGCTGTGGATGAACAACTGCAAACACCGTCACGTTAATTTAGTATATACTTGGTGCTGGACACAGGCTTTGCCGCATTTGCCACATTTCTTGATTTCATTGTATGCCTGGCTTGAGGATTCTCCTTTATCCACACATCGAAGCCACCTGAATCGCAATGTACTTTGCCACATTTCTTAATTTCGCTTTATGCCTGGCTCTCCAGCTGAGGATTCTCCTTTATCCACACATCGAAGCCACCTGGATCACAATGCGCTTTCACTTGACTTGTCCATCTTGTCCATTACAAAAAGGAAACATTGTTGCTGCAAATCAAGAACACAATCAACAATGTCAATCAAACAATGTCAACCCTGCCTGCCACTTTTGGATCTCGAGACCCACATGTTTCAGGAATATCCACAGACGGAAAGTTCGCTGATATGGCAGCTGCTGATGATGGTTGTTCCGTTAGTGCTCCAGTTGGCATGTTCATCCGTTTGCATCAACATCAATTAATGTTCAGGAAATCCTATTGTCGCATTGAAAACAACCAAGGTCTTTCCTCACGCTGACAAAACCAGTGGTGAAACACTGTAATGACCCTTCCCTCGTCATGCCTGCCAAGAGTGCGCCATCCTGGAGTTCCCGAGTTTGTAAACTGTCGTGATTGCAAAATAAAAACTGCACCTCCACTCGGCAACCATCAGCACTCCACTTGGAAGACATGAAATCAGAAATGGGTTGAATGCTTTAGCTTGAGAATGCAAAAATGCATAAAAATGCTATATAATTGTTTCGCGTGGTTTGTGGCGTTGCATAGGTTGTCAAAAATTGACCACCTTCTCAAACAAAACAATCCATCCTACAAGGTCCTACACAAAAATATAGAATTCAGCTACAGTATTCAACCATGTTTGCGGCACAGGGTTTTCCAGCTTTTGAGTTGGGCAAAGGATCATGGTGGCAACATGGTGTCACAGTTCAAGATACCTAAACCGTTCCTCCAGCCAAATGCAAGTCACAACTATTCACGTTGATCCTGATATTTACCATGAGCCTTTGGATGTCCTCTCAAACTCAATTGTGCATTGCATAAGTCAATCGCGGTTCGACGGTCAAAAATATAAGTACTCGCATTTGTTTGAAGACAACCTGATGGCCTGCATTCACTATATAGTCTGCAACAACTAGCGGCGTGGAAAACTGGAAAAACAAAAAAAAATTGGATTGAATGATTTTACCGTGGGCATACCTGTGCAATTAAACACAACCACATGTCCACATTGTGCTTTCAGTTTGGAAAAAAATCACACATGTCACATGTTGTTGAGAAAAAAAACATCGTTTTCAGCCTCGAAATCAAACACAATAATCCCTGTATTGCACACAACGAACGGTTTGTACAGGTGACTGCCCTTGGTCCAATGCAGGATTTTGCAAGTGTAGAGTTTGAAGAAATTTGGCCGGCTGGGGATGATGCTTGACAAAGCGTCAATGGGTTTTGCAAACCACAAAATGTGCGGGCTGTCAATCCGAGTTCTTACAAGGTGGCTTTGTCATTTGCGTGCATTTTCAACATGGTTGAAAAATCAATTCCACGGGGGAGTCTGTGTTGAAACATCAATTCCAAGGGAAGAGGTGAATTGAACCATCAATTGTTTGCTCCGGAAGAGCCCACACTTGCTTCGCAACACAAACTTGCAGGGTTACCACCGACAGCGCCCAAGTCAAAAACAACATAAGCAGAATCTTGAGAGCCACAAACACTCAATGAATGACCACATTAAATGTCAGACAGCGCGTCGTCAGTGCACTTGATACAGTTTTCTGTGTGAATTAAGGTGACAATCCAACGGGCCAACCAATGAACGCTGGAGGTAGGGCACCGTGTCCTACGCTGTGCTTAGAGTTACTAGGCGAGAGGGGGGCGCGCATTTGCTTTAAGATT